AGCATTTAGAACAGATAGGGAAATCATAGTGAAATATGAAAATGTAATAACTTCTATTAATTTTATCGTTTGAAAATCTAAAATGCTACTAATAAAAATAAAATAATGGCTGTTTAAAAAGTACAAATGTAGGCCAGGCACGGTGGCTCACACCTGTAATCCTAGCACTTTGGGAGGCCAAGGTGGGTGGATCACTTGAGGTTAGGAGTTTGAGACCACCCTGGGCAACATAGCGAAACCCGTCTCTACTAAAAATACAAAAATTAGTCAGGTGTGTTGGTGCAAGCCTGTAATCCCAGCTACTCAGAAGGCTGAGGCAGGAGAATTGCGTGAACCCGGCAGGTAGAGATTCCAGTGAGCCGAGATCACCCCACTGCACTCCAGCCTGGGCAACAGAGCAAGACTCTGTCTCAAAAAAACAAAAACAAAAACAAAAGGACAAATGTAATTTGATATGTGCAATAAATTATTAATACATGGTATAAGAACCTTGCATATCTAGCAGAACAAAATATAAAATGCTTAAGATGGTAAAAAGTATTTTTAAGATGATAATCTGATTCTTTTATGTAGTTAAACTAGTAATCACAAATATTCAAGGAAGAATTTTCAGAGTGAGGGTATACTGACCTCAAAGATATGTTAATACTGTCCAAAAGGAAAGAAACATCATGAAAAGAAATAATAGATACCAGCATACAGAATCATCATGCATACAATGATGGTCAAAAGCCCATTTGCTATACTGACACCTGAGTAATAATTAACACACTGTAAAGAAAGTAACCTACTCAAGCATATGCTTAAAATTAATGTAAAATGGATCTTTATTTCTCTCAATTTAGTGGATGTTTTACTGACTGCAGTTAGGACTACTGCTAAGAACGAGGTATTGATAATATGAACTTTTCCTAAAGCAAATTCACTGACTATATGGCTTATTTTATCTATCTATCTATCTATCTATCTATCTATCTATCTAATCTATCGCCATCTATCTATTCTGAGACAGAGTTATCACTCCTGTTGCCCAGGCTGGAGTTGCAATGGTGTGATCTTGGCTCACTGCAACCTCCACCTCCCAGGGTCAAGGTGGTCTCGCTGCCTCAGCCTCCGAGTAGCTGGGATTACAGGCACCCGACCACTAAGCCCAGCTAAGTTTTGTACTTTTAGTAGAGACAGGGTTTCGCCATGTTGGCCAGGGCTGGTGTCGAACTCCTGACCTCAGCTGATCTGCCCACCGTGGCCTCCAAAGTCCTGGGTTATTACCAGGCAGTGAGCCACCATGCTAGACCTATATGGACTTAGTTGTAAATGTCTCTCATTAAATGTGGCCCTGATAGCGGGCGCGTGGCTCCTAAATAATGCCTTGCCCAGCACTTTGGTTGAGGCCTTGAGATCGTGCGGATTGTTCATCGAGTCAGGAGATCAAGACCATCCTGGCTAACACGGTGAAACCCCGGTCTCTTTACAAAAATACAAAAAATTACAAAAAAAAAAAAAAAAAGATATAAGAGTCGGCTGCAGTCGGCAGAGCCTGTAGTCCCAGCTACTTTGGGAGGCTGACGCAGGGAATGGTGTGACCCGGGAGGAAGAGGCTTGCACGCTGAGCCGAGATCATACTTACTGACGCGCTCGCGAGCCTGGGCACAGAGTGAGACTCCGTCTCAAAAATAAAAATTAAAAAATAAAAATAAATGTGCCTTATTTTTCAAAAATATGTACTGATCGCTTGCTCTGTTCTACTTAAACTTGGAGGTCTCCACATTTGGTTAAAGTTCAAACTGCCTGAGTTTTACCCAAGCCACTTCAGAACGCCCAAATCTAGTCTATTAGCGCCTTCAATATATGGGGAATCGTTATTCCAGCCAAGGCATCGAATATTTGCAGTCTAGACTTGTACATTGATGTCTTGACTTACATCCGATCCATAATAATGTCTTCTTCTCTTCTTTTTTTTTTTTTTGAGACGTAGTCTTCGCCCTTCCCCAGTGCGACCAGTCCATTCACCACGCAAGCCTGCCCCGGTACTCATTCTCCTGGCCTCACTCCCAGTAGCTGGGATACAGGCGCCTGCCTACCTCGCTCTGGCTAGTTTGTTGTATTTTTTAGTAGAGACGGGGTTTCACCGTGTTAAGCGCAGGATTCTTCTCCTCTTGTTATAATCTTCTATATATCCGCTATCCACTCTCGTCTTGGCCTCCCAAAGTGCTGGGATTACAGGCTTGAGCCACCGCGCCCAGCAATGTCTTCTATTCTACCCCTAGTTGTTACCTCTTTTAGGAATCACTTTTCAACTTTTTACTTCTGTTAACCATAATTAACTAATTATTAAAGTGCTGCATCCCAGCAGAAATCTGAACTTTCAAACTTCAATTTACATGGTTCCCTTTCTATCCTCCCACCATAATACCGGGTGCTAACCTTTTTTTTTGAGACAAGTTCCCATTCTGTTGCTCAGGCTGTAGTACAGTGGTGTAATCATGGCTCACTGTAGCCTTGACCTCCCAGGCTCAAATGATTCTCTTGCCTCAGCCTCCCTTGTAGCTGGAACTATAGGCATGTGCTACTATGCCTGGCTAAGTTTTTGGGTTTTCTTTTTTTTTTTTTTGGTAGAGATAGGGTCTCATTATGTTACCCAGGCTGGCTGAGAGCTCCTGGACTCAAGTGATCCTCCCACCTCAGCCTTCCAAAGTGCTGGGATTATAGATGAGAGCCACCATGCCCAGCCTCGACTTCTAACATAGCCCTGATTACACTTGTCTATCTTTACCTCTATACTACAAACTATCAAACGGTAACATCTAGATCTCTTGAGCCACTACAGAGTATCATTAAATAGTCAATAGATGAATTAGATAAGACAGAGAAGACTTGGTAGTCAGGAAAAGAATGAGTAATGTACAATCTAGTCACCAGCAAACATTGTTAATAGGCTTGGTTAAAAAATCCAAGTTCTATCCTAAACTACTACTATCTCATTATCATGGTTACATGGAATTGAAGCAGCTAAATGATCTTGTTTAATGTTCACAGCAGAGCAAGAAGTAGAAACCCCATCTTACCTAAAAGCTGACAGCAAAAATACCTACATACCTATGAAACACTTAGAAAAAAGGTGTTCAAACTTTTATCTCTACACAAGGAATTTTCTAACCGAAATTTTTCCTGGTTTTTGCTCTCATACACACCAAACAGAATTCGATACCTTAGTTTCTGGCAGAGAGAGGAGAAAGAAGGGGACTGAATTGTCAAAGCTCTAGCCTGAAACTCATATCTATTATCTGTTTCTATTGAGAATCAGTTAATAGAGCCATTACAAGTTCTTCTGAAATTGTGATTGAAGAAAGAAAAAAAAAACTGATTGAAGAAAGAAAAAAAAAACTGATGTTCTTTATTTATTCAAAACCTCTATTTAATAACACCATTGTGGTATAGATCCTACCAACTTGCTACTTGGTACGTACGTGTCAATGTTTCAGTAGAAAGACTCAAATTTATGCAAATGTGTCTCATACAGGTAATTTATTTTCAATTTCACAGGGACACATAGACATCATAGTAATGCAAGCTATAGGATAAATATATTATGTAAATCTATTATGTAAATCTATATATTAATATATAGTAAATATATTTATATTTATATAGTAAACATATATATTAAATATATAGTAAATCTATTATGATAACATTAGTAATAAATGTTACCAAACTAAATAAGTCAAGGATTTTTTATTTATAAAGTACATGTTTATTTTTGCTATTACATGCTTATTCTGGCTGCCACTAAAGGACACAGGAGAGGTCCTTAGCACAACCATTTAAAAATTTTTTTAGGCCTGCACAGTGGCTCATGCCTTGTAATCCCACCACTTTGGGAGGCTGAGGCAGGATTGCTTGAGCCTAGGAGTTTGCAACCAACCTGGGCAACATGGTGAGAACTGGTCTCTTAAAAAAAAAAAAAAAATTAGCTGGGCATGTTGGTGCACACCTATAGTCTCAGCTATTCATAAGGCTGAGGTGGGAGGATTGCTTGAACCCAGGAGGTCAAGGCTGCAGTGAGCCAAGATCCCACCACTGAACTCCAGCCTGGGCAACAGAGCAAGATCCTGGGAAAAAAAAAAAAAAAAAAAAAGGAAATTTTTTAAAAGAATAGATGTACTGGCCAGGCACAGTGGTTCATGCTTGTAATCCGAGCACTTTGGGAGGCCAAGGCCGGCAGATCACTGGAGGCCAGGGGTTCGAGACCGGCCTGGCCAACATAGCGAAACCCCATCTCTACTAAAAATACAAAAAAATTAGCCGACATGGTGGCACACGTCTGCAGTCCCAGCTACCTTGGAGGCTGAGGCAAGAAAATCACTTGAAGCCGCGAGGCAGAGCTGGCAGTGAGCTGAGATCCTGCCAATGCACTCCAGCCTGGGTGACAGAGCAAGACTCTGTCAAAGAAAAAAAAAAAAAAAGAGAGAAAGAATATATGTACTGCCAAATTAAGAGAAAAAAACATTTCCATCATTTCAGATATCCTTATGGTTGTTCCCAATTAATCTGCACACTCCTGAAATCACTATTCCAACTTCTATCACTATTTGTTAGTTTTGCTTCTGTGTTCTTCAACTTCATATAAATGGAATCATACAGTATATATTCTTTTTTGTTTGACTTCTTTTGCTCAATATAACGTTAGCCTTACCACAACTTAGTCAAATGGAAGAAATATAGATTATAGGCTATAGTTGTCAAGGGCTGTATCTACATAATTCTTATAAAATGCCTAGCACAGACTTATAATAAATGTTTGCACATACAGTTTCAGAGTTGCTTAAAGATGGAATGGCTCTCTTTGGAGATAACTTGGAGGTGTTTTACCCACAGGTCCAGATAAGTACTTGGTAGGGAGGATGCAGAAGAGATTCAAGCATGTATATAAGCTATACATCCCAAACAGAGTACATGATATTTTTGGAAAAAGATACATTAGTTCTACCTAGACTCACCTTTGTGGTGTCATGTGCATTCAATATGCCTTCTACAATGTCAGAGAGATCCATATGTAATTCCTTTAAAACAACCCAAAGGAGTAATTAGAAAAAGAGTCAGTGGATATACTTTTGATTTTGTTATTCAATGGCTAAAGTTTACTGTATATAGAGCAAGATTTGTTTTGTTTTTCTTGTAGAGATGAGGTCTCATTGCATTGCCCAGGATTATCTCAAACTCCTGGGCTAAAGTGATCCTCCCACCCTGGCCTCCCAAATTGCTAAGACTACAGGAAAGAACTACTGCACCCGGCCTTGCTCAAGTATTTTTATAATTACCATAGATAGATTCTCATATATGCTTAAAACTTAAGATAACTTTCCTATGGTTTCATTCTTAGTTTACATAGTTGAGTTTAAGATTTTCTAACCCAAACTCTCTTCCCAATTTTGCATCTTCAGCTGTAAATATTTTGAGTAGCATAATACAGCAACTAAAGGCAGTAAAAAATTATTTTATCCTTTTAAAGAAAATAATTCCCTGCAACTTCCTGTTGGAAGTTTATATGCAACAAGACATACACAATCAGAACTTACAGGAATATCATCAGTGCGGTTGTCCTTCCAGACTTCTAAAAGTGCAACCACCATGTCTCTCAGTTCAACCCTGGAGAGAACTCCATCACGGTCAACATCAAATACCTTGAAGCAAACTAATGAAAAGAAACTCTTGTGGAGGAAAATTATTTTTGTATTCTGAGGTATAACATATTTTACTAGAAGTTGCCCTTGTATAATTACTTACATTTTTAAAGCAAGTGTATGTTTCCTGGAACAGTTCTTATCTGTAATAAACTATACTATGTCATTATACTCCTCAGAACTTGTAGGACTTCCTGCATATCATGAATCTATATCTCTAAATCATTATTCAGATATAAGACCCTACCCTTCAACCAAATCTAAAGCTAAATGCCTTAGAAACTGTAAAGAAAGGGTCAAGTTACTACACAATAAATATTACAATACCTTACAAGTTTTAAGGAAGTAATGTAAGCCCCTAGGTTAATTTCTAATATTCAAAATTGATCATTGCAGAGTTGTTTCTTGTTCCTTTTTTTTTTCTTTTTCTTTTTTGGAGACGGTATCTCCCTCTGTCACCCAGGCTAGACTGCAGTGGCATGATCTCAGCTCACTGCAACCTCTGCCTCCCAAGTAGCTGGGATTACAGGAGCGCACCACCACACCCAGGTGATTTTTTTTCTTTTCTTCTCTTTTTTTTTGAGATGAAGTCTTGCTCTGTCACCCAGGCTGGAGTGCAGTGGAATGATCTTGGGTCACTGAAACCTCTGCCTCCCGGGTTCAAGCAGTTCTCCTGCCTCAGCCTCTGAGTAGCTGGGACTACAGGCACGTGCCACCACACCTGGCTAATTTTTTGTATCTTTAATAGAGACAGGGTTTCACTGTGTTAGCCAGGATGGTCTCGATCTGACCTTGTGATTGACCCGCCTCAGCCTCCAAAGTGCTGGGATTACAGGCGTGAGCCCACCACGCCTGGCCACTTTTTCTGTATTTTTAATAGAGACAAGGTTTTGCCCTGTTGGCCAGGCTTGGTCTCAAACTCCAACCTGAAGTGATCCACCCGTTCAGCCTCCCAAATGCTAAGATTACAGGTGTGAGCCACGGTGCCAGGTCAGCAGAGTTGTTCTTGTTTGCTTCAAATATCCTATTTAGGCTGGGCACGGTGGCTCATGCCTGCAATCCCAGTACTTTTAGGAGGCCGAGGTGGGCGAATCACGAGGTCAGAGTTTTGAAGACCAGCCTGGCCAACATGATGAAATCCTGTCTCTACTAAAAATACAAAAATTTAGCTGGGCAGGAGTGGTAGGCACCTGTAATCTCAGCTACTCGGAAGGTTAAGGCAGAATTGCTTGAACCCGGGAGCCGGAGGTTGCAGTGAGCCAAGATCGGGCCCCTGCATTCCAGCCGGAGCAACAGTGTGGAGACTTCGTATTAAAAAAAAAAAAAATCCTATTATATCAGAATCATAAGCTGATATAAAGACAGTCCACTTCCCTGTTCCCTTTCCAGTATATATTAATGTACATTCAATCGTTCTTTGTAAAAACACTTTAAATCTTTTTTTTTGAGATGGAGTCTCGCTCTTGTAACCCAGGCTGGAGTGCAGTTCTCAGCTCACTGAAACCTCCGCCTCCAGGTTCAAGCGATGTCTCTGCCTTAGACCTCCTGAGTAGCGGGACTATAGGCACCAGCCACCATGCCGGCTAACTTTTGTATTTTTGGTAGAGACAGCGTTTCACCATATTGGCCAGGCAGTCTTGAACTCCTGACCTTGTGATCCGCTGACTCGGCCTCCCAAAGTGCTGGGTTACAGGTGTGAACCACTGCACCAGGCCTTTTTTTTTTTTTTTTTTTTTTTTTTTTTTGAGACGGAGTCGTCGCTCTGTCTCCCAGGCTGGAGTGCAATGGGCACAATTGCGGTGCACGTGCAACCTCCACCTCCCAGGTTCAAGCGAATTTCCTTTCCTAGCCTCCAATTAGCTGGGATTACAAGTGCCTGCCACTGCACCCAGCTATTTTTATTATTTTTGAGTAGTGACTGGGTTCTCCATGTTGGCCAGGCTGGTCTCAAACTCCTGACCTCAGGTGATCCACCTGCCTTGGCCTCCCAAAGTGCTGGGATTACAGGTGTGAGCAGCCATGCCTGGCCAACAATTTTAACTCTTTAATGAAATTCAAACACAACATGGTAAGAATTAGAACACCAGTGCTTTGCTATTTAACTCCAAATGAATCACTCTAGTTTAACTTCCATTAGTTCATCAGCAAAAAAAGAAATTAAAACAAAATTTTTTTAAGGCAACAATTAACTTCAATGGAAATGCACAGCGGGGCATGGAGGCTCATGTCTATAACCCCAACACTTTGGGAGGCTGAGGTGGGCGAATCATTTAAGGCCAGAGGTTCGAGACTAGCCTGGGCAACATAACAAGACGTTGTCTCTATTAAAAATAAAATAAAATAAAATAAAATTAGCCAGGCATGGTGGTAAATGCCTGTAGTCCCAGCTACCTCGGAGGCTGAGATGGGAGAATCCATTGCGCCCAGAAGTTCAAGGTTATAGTGAGCTACAATCACACCACTGCACTGGACTCCAGCTTGGGCAACGGAAAAAGACCCTGTCTCAACAACAACAACAACAAAAATCAGAGATTTTAGCTTCCTCATCTAACAGTAAATTGTTAGATGTATAACATCTAACATCTATAACATTGTTAGATGTATAACAACAGGGAATAAAAAAAGAGATTTGAATTTTTAGTTGAAAAATTATTTCATATACCTCCATAATAGAATTCTGGCTATTAAATCAATTGAGTGCATCATAGTACAACAGTACGAAATAAGATAAAAATATTGAACACCACACCCAAAATATGCAACATTTGTGAAGATTTATTTTAGAAAGACGTGGAGATAATGACCCCAGTAAATATATTTTAGTTTTCAATTAAATGTAAATGCCTGCATTTTTTCAAATATGGTTAAGATTTAATAACACAATGTATTTATGCTTCCAAATTATGCTGCAACATTTTAGTTAGGTTAAAAAAGATCATTTTAGCATTTAATAAAATTAGTTTTGACCATAAATTTTATTTTGCCAATGAAATATTAATCCGTGCCAGTGACGGAAAATGACTTATGCCTCAACTTATGTAAGACACAAAATTCTACCAGAAAATATTTCCTAAATGTTTAAAATTTTCAATTACATCATAGCTGATCTGATTCATTTATCATGAATTGCAGATTCTTCAGGAAAATCAACCCCATTGTTAATAGCAAAGATCCCAATTATTCCATAGTAAAAAAGAAGAGATGATTGATTCCTTAGAGTGACCTCACTAAAACCCCAATATGAGATTAATATTTGCTAATCTGACAAAGTTATAAAAATTCAAGCCTTAATCCATAGATAATTTTACATTGATGAAAACTGATTTTCTCTCTATTACATAGTTTGCAATTTTTTGACAATGTTTAACACACTTACATTTTTGTCTTTCAGCCAGGGGTCCCCTGCAACAGGCTGATAACCCACAGGATATCTCCTTAAAATCTATGTGATTGTCACGATTTTCATCAAAAGCATTAAACAAACCTGTAAAATAGGAAGAGGCACCATAAATCACAGCCAGGCTTCCTAGTGTTAACAATGACATGTTTACAAAAGGAGGAATGACTCTTTCCCATAAACTGACTGAATTTGTTTTTTAAGTTTATTAGCAGTTCCTAATGTTTCAGGAAGTATCTCTTTCCTCTTGGTATAATTATAACTGAAACTTGTGATCATGGCAGAAAATACATTACAATTCTTTAGTGTTTGGTTATGTCCATCTATATTTATCTTACATCATTTTTAATAGCTAAAATGCCTATATATTTTTGAAGTCAATAAATAAAAATTAAAAACCAAAAAAAGGTCAGAAATTACAACAATTATCCTTACTTAGAAAGATTGAGAAGAAAAACGGAAAAAAGAAAGAAAAACTGAACTGCTTATTAAATGAATACTCAAAGATACACTACAGTATCATTAATAAGCTCCCATAAAGCTCTTTCATGAGGCAAAGGAAGATACATTATGCAACATGAGAGAAAGAAATTCTCTACTACAGTGTCTCTTTGTACTGTTTAATCTTTTATACATGAATATTTTAAATTTCACAAAGGGAATTTATAATCTAATCCTGTGGTTTCCAAACATTTTGTAAAAAAAAGAAATGAAATAATTTTGTTTTCAAATGAAATGATACATCAATCCCAATTCTAAAAAGGTAAAAACACAATGCACTGTTGTTGAAGTAGGTAGAAACCCAGAGCCCTATCTCCCCTGGCTCCCCTGACGAGTACTCCAAAGTACCCTAGAAATTTGAAGAATACAGATAGTATATTCCAAGAATCTAATGATGTGCCCTCAGTTTAGGGATTAGAAAACTAAAGCTCAGAGAAGACTACATGATTTGTCAAATATAAGTTTTAAAAGGTGAGAGCTGGAAGCAGAACCCAAGTATTCATACTCCAAATATGATTTTTATGATGTGCTCACAATTATTCTTTGTACTCTTTATTTTTAAAAAAATAACAGCAGGCTGAGAGCGGTGGCTCACGCCTGTAATCCCAGCACTTTGAGAGGCTGAAGGTGGGTGGATCGCCAGAGGTTGGGGGTTCAAGACCAGCCTGACCAATATGGAGAAACCCCGTATCTACTAAAAATACAAAATTAGCCAGGCGTGGTGGCACATTCCTGTAATCCCAGCTACTCGGGAGGCTGATAGGCGCATCGCTTGAACGCAGGAGGCAGAGGTTGCAGTGAGCCGAGATCGCGTCATTGCACTCCAGCCTGGGCAACAAGAGTGAAACTCTGCCTCAAAAAAAAAAAGAAAAAAAAGTAACAGCACTAAGTTTGGAGCTACAGAGCACCTCAGAGATGGTCTAGTCTAATTGTTTCTTAAATGTTTTTTGGAGGGGAGAATACAGCAGTGGAATCTTCTTATGCAAAAGAAAAAAGGTAGAGGCACCCTACTGGAGGAAAAGACAAGGTCATATGTGGAAACACGGAGCTCTGCCCATTCAGTGGCCACCACATGACTCCAGGCACTAGCTACTAATGCACCTCACTGGAACACAGTATCACAGCCACTGACTTGGTCAAACACATTTTATACATGAGCATCCTCAGGTGCAGAGAGCTAAACTGATTTATGCAAGGTTATAACAGGTAGAAGATCAAGCTCAAGACTATAATACTAATTCCCATTCATTTTTCCCCACTCCATTAAACCTGCAAACATATAAGAAGATGGTTTCTTAGAGTTAAAATGTATTGGTTTCAAATATGAGATGGGCTCAGGTATGTTTACCAGTGAACATATGTAGAAAATGGAATGATTCCTACCTTCACTTAGAGATGGACGAATAGGTGGTGAAACCAATGGGCCAAATGTCTCTAAATCAAATCGTCCAGTCCGGGACTGAGCCTTCAATAACCAATAGCGTTTCTCAAGATCAATGATGTCTGATTCCTCCACTAAGGGTCAAATCAAAAAAGATTATAAAACCTCAGAATTCTCTTCTCAGGAGTTCAGTTCATCCTGATAATATATCGTCCACACATATATTTTAGTTTCACAATTCAATTGCTAAAAAATAATCACGACCAAAACCAAAACTCAAATTTATTATATCCAAAATGGTAAGAAAATTAAACCAAAACAAGACTTTAAAACAGAAAAAAGAAATCTACAATTCCCCATTTAAGTAGGCTGTTTAAATCCAACATTTAAAATAATATACAACTAAGCTATTTCTTTTGGGTTTCCCACACCACTTTTACCTGTACTGATTTTTTTTTTTTTAAAGAGACAGGGTTTTGCTCTGTCACTCCAAAGCTGGAGTGCAGTGACACGATCATAGTTCCCTGCAGCCTCAAACTTCTGGGCTCAAGATATCCTCCCACCTTAACCTCCAAAGTAGTTAGGACTACATGTGCACACCACCACATCCAGATAATTTTTAAAAAACTTTTTGTAGAGATGAGGTATCTCTATGTTGGTCAGGCTGGTCCCAAACTACTGGCCTCAAGCAGTCCTCTCACCTCTGCTTCCCAAAGTGTTGGGATTATAGGTGTGAACCACTGTGCTCAGCCATTTTTGTTTATTTTCAATCTCTATCTTGGATTTAAAGTTTCTATGTACAGCTTCTCTCCTGGCTAGACTGTAAACATCATAATGGCAGGATCTATGTCTGATTCATCCTATCAATACAATTAATGACTTACACATTCAATACTTACTGAATAAATGAAAAAAGTCAGTTAAGTGACAGAGGAGATGGAGTAGGAGTCCCTGTGTGATAGTAATAGCAAAGCCACGAAAGCATGAACATTTTTTTCTCCTTACTCCTCAGAATATACATCAAAAATCACAAATAGGCTCTAAACCATTTTATCTGTGATTGTTTTTCCTCCAAGGAACTAAAGTAAAATTTAGAAAGCATACATAGTACATTTATTCTCAACTAAACATAGGAACCAAAGTGATACTATTAAAATATAAATCTAGAAATTTCAAATTCTTTCTATAATGGAGTAACTAGCACCAGACTTGACCTCCTACCACAAATGACTAGAAAACTGTATAAAATATATAAAACTGTTTCTAGAAATTTGAGAACAAGCAGTATGGAACTGTGATCCTTGAGAGAAAGGAAACAAATAAGGTGAGCCTTTTCATTGCCCTGGATTTTCTCCCCACAGTCACTTTCCAGACCTAAACAAGGGATGAGTACTATAAGCAAAGAGATTTCACTGAGTTAAGAAGATAGGTTGGAGGTGAGGTAACTGAAATTTGCATAACAGAGTACTGGAGAGGAAAGAGTTATGCCAAGAAAGGGCTCCAGAAATCTGCACATGTGTCTTACTGAGTTTTGGCAGAAAATAAGCTGTGTATACATGAAGTGAAACACATTGAGGCTGGGCTAGGTATAAATGCTGGGAAATTTGTTTTGTTTTGTTTTGTGGTGTTGCTGTTTGAAACAGAATCTTGCTGTCGCCCAGGCTGGAGTGCAGTGGCGTGATCTTGGCTCACTGCAACCTCCGCCACTGGCCTGGGTTCAAGAGATTCTCATGTTTCAGCTTCCCAAGTAGCTGGGATAACAGGCATGCGCCAGCACACCTGGCTAATTTTTGTATTTTTAGTAGAGATGGAATTTCGCCGTATCGCCCAGGCTGATCTCAAACTCCTGGCCTCAAGTGATCCGTCCGCCTCGGCCTCCCAAAGTGCGGGGATTACTTACAGGCATGAGGCACTGCACCCAGCCCAAATGCTAAGAAAGTGTAAGCTAAAAAAAGTCCTAGCGCTCATATAGGGATGGGAGATGTCTGATTGTGACCAGCTGAAGTGGAAACACTGTGTTGGACATTGGGAGCATTTGTGAACTCCAGAGGGTCTCTACTTAATAAGCAGGGAAAAACTAACTCTAGAGTAAAGGCTACTCTAAACTTGTCCCAACAAAGCTTACAAACAACCCTGGAAAATATGGAGCTGATCCACAAGTAACTTAACTACCTATCAAAATAAAACACAAGTTCCTTTTTTAAAGAGAGACAACAATCCAGATGCTCAGCTATGTAACATCCACAATGTCTATCATCCAAAGAAAATATGAAAGTAGTAGAAAAATGTGACCGCAAATCTGGATTAAAAATTAGCCAATAGAGGGCTGGACGCGGTGGCTCACGCCTGTAACCCTAGCACTTTGGGAGGCCGAGGCGGGTGGATCACTTGAGGTCAGGAGTTCGAGACCAGCCTGGCCAATATGGTAAAACCGCGTCTCTACTAAAAATACAAAAATTAGCTGGGTGTGGCGGCGGGTGCCTGTAGTCCTAGCTACTCCGGAGGCTGAGGCAGGACAATCACTTTAACCCGGGAGATGGAGGCTGCAGTGAGCCGAGATTGCCCCACTGCACTCCAGCCTGAGGCAACAGAGCGAGACTCAGTCTCAAAAAAAAAAAAATTAGTCAATAGAAAAAGACCTAGAAATAACAGATGATGTAATTAACAGGCAAAGCTTTAAAACATTTATTATAAGTATCTCAGGAATTAAAGAAAAACATGCATATACTGAGGAAAGAAATGGCAACTATAAAAAAGTATCAACTGGAACTCCTAAAGATGAAGAATACAATATTTGAAATTTAAAAAAATTCACTAGAGGACTTAACAGCAGATTATAAACTAGACAGGAAAGATTAGTGAACTTGAAGGATAGGCAATATGATAGCATAAAGAGGAAAAAGGCTAAAAATGTATTAGAATCTTAGAGACCTATAAGATAGTATCAAACATACATACAATTGGGATCCCAGAAAGGGATAGGCAGAAAATATCTGAAAAAATAATGGCTGAAAACTTTCTAAAATTCATAAAAACTATATTCCCACAGATCCAGAAGTTCAATGAACCTTGTGTTAGAAAACTCAAAACCCTAACAAGGCAAGTCATAATCAAACTGGTGATAAAGAAAAAATCTTAAAAGACAGTAAGATGGAGAAAAACACATTACAAACAAAAGAACCAAGATAATAGTTTATCTCCAGAAAAAAAGCCAGAAAGCAACAGGGAAGTGCTGAAAAAGAAAACAAAGTTGTCAACCTCCAATTCTGTATCACGTGAAAATATTCTTCAAAAATAAATTCAAAGTACAGATTTTTTTTGACAAACAAAGCAGAAATAGCAGAACCACACCAAAAGGACTATTAAAGGGCATTCTTCAGACAGCAGGAAGGCCAGTTAAGTATCTATGTAAACAGAATAAGGCTAAAAATGTGACTTCTCTACCTCAAAACCTTTCAATACGTCCCCATGATACCTGCATGGCTTACTCCCACAACTCCTTCAGATCTTTACTCGAATGTGACATTCTCAGACCAAAACTGCACCACCTTCAAAGACACTCCTCTGTCCCTCTTCTCTGCTCTACTTTACTCCATAATACTTATCAACTCTAATAAAAAGTTTATTAATTTGTTTTGTTTATTGAGTCTCCCCTAACTAGAACATAAGCTTGAGGGCAGAGTTTCTGGTATGTTTTGTTCCCTGTGTCTAACACCAGAAATAAGTACTCAGCGCACACATGATGAAGCAACCTCAATAAATAAGGTTTAATTGAAACAACTGAGAAGTATTGGCCGGGACACGCAGTGGCTCCACCGTCTGGTAAATCCTCAGCACTTTGGAGGCCAGGGCAGGCAGCCATCACCTGAGGTTCAGGAGGTCATCAGACCAGCCTAGGGCACACTGGCAAACCCCCGGTCTGTATTAAACAAATACAAAAATTACGCCGGTTTCACCTGGTGGTGCGTGCCTGCTGAATTCCCAGCGTCAGCGAGGCTTGAGGCAGGTCAGCGCGGGAGAATCGCTTGAAACCTGGGAGGTCAGAGGTTGCAAGTGAGCTGAGACCTGGCACCACTGCACTCCAGCACTGGGACAATGGAGCAAGACTCGTTATTTCAAAAAAAAAAAAAAAAAAAGATTGTTTGTTGAGCTGTTTTCATACATACACCACAACACACACACCCCCTACAAGCCTCTTTAGGATAATGCTAAACTGTGATAAAAGATAACAATTAGAAGCCCGGGCCCTCAGTGGCCATCACAGCCTGTAATCCACGGATCTTTTGGAAACGGGCCGGAGGCGGAGCGATCACGAGGTCAAGGAAGATTGAGGAATCATCCTTGGCTCAACACGGTGCAAACCCCCGTCTCTACTCAAAAATACAAAAAATTAGCCGGCCGCTGTCCGGGTGGTGGCGCACCCTGTAGCAGTGCCCAGCAACTGGGAGGGCCCTTGAGGCAGCGGGAAATGGCCGCGTGAACCCCGGGACGGCCAGGAGCTTGGCAGGGTCGAGCCGAGGCGAATCCGCACCACTGCACTCCAGCCCTGGGGCAAACGAGCGAGAAGCTTCCAGTCCTCAAAAAAAAAAAAAAAAAAAGATCACAATTAGTACCAGACATGACCTTGGCATCTGGTAACTTTCATTTATTTATTATTTTTCCTGTTAGGTCAGTTTAGCAAGGTAACTCTTAAGTTACCTGGAAAGATAAGAACAAAGTTCCCGAAAAAAATTTTTTTTTCCAAGATGGAATCTCACTCTGTTGCCCAGACTGGAGTGCAGTGGTGTGATCTCAGCTCACTGTAATGTTTGCCTCCTAGATTCAAGTGATTCTCCTGCCTCAGCCTCCTGAGTAGCTGGTATTACAGGCGCCCGCCACCACATCTGGCTAATTTTTTACATTTTTAGTAGAGACCTTGTCTCTATTTAAAAAAAAAAAAAGTATGGAGCAATAAAGATAAAATTTTCACAGAGGAATACACACTGTGTCATATAGTATTGCTTTTTAAACTAAATTTAACTAATTCACTAGATTGTAATCTCCTGATGGGTCAATGTTTGGAAAGGTCCAATTACTTTGGAATGGGATCTAATTTTTAAAATATATAAAGGCTGGGTGTGGTGGCTCACACCTA